CCATTTCTTCTTCTGCTTATTTTTAAAAATTGGATGATTTGGCTTTTTCATATTAATTTGTAAAAATTCTTTAAATGTTTTTGTGAAGACTACTTTGTCAGATATACGTTTTCTGAAATTTTCTTGTAGTCTTCGACTTGACTGTCTGCTCTTTAATGAAGCAGAGTTTTTCATTTTAATAGTCTATTAATTTTTTGTTTGTTTTATGGTTAGTGCTTTTTGTGTCTTTTTGGCCCAAGAAATGTAAACATAAATGTTACATAATACTTCCGGGAAGCCTCCTTTAAAAAACAACAACAAAAAAAAGGCCAGGCGCAGTGGTTTACACCTATAATCCCAGCACTTTGAGAGGCTGAGGTGGGTGGATCACCTGAGGTCAGGTGTTCAAGACCAGCCTGACCAACATGGCAAAACCCTATCTCTACTAAAAAAATACAAAATTAGCCGGGCGTGGTGGTAGGCACCTGTAACCCCAGCTACTTGAGAGGCTGAAGCAGGAGAATTGCTTGAACCCACGAGATGGAGGCTGCAGTGAGCCGAGATCACGCCATTGCACTCCAGCATGGGCAACAAGAGCGAAACTCCATCTAAAAAAACAAAAAAAACAAGGCATGCCCTTCATCCCTCTTTCCCCTGTCCTGTTGCCTGGAACACACATATGATGGCTGGAGCACTGGCACCCATGTTAGACCTCGGGAATGAGGTGAGCTTGGGAATAGAAGTCACAAATTCAAAGAAGCCTGAGATATCATGAAATTGCTACACTAGCCCTGAAACTGTCTACTTCCAGACTTCATATAGATAGGACAGAATAAACTCTTTTTTTTTTTTTTTTTTTTGAAACAGAGTCTCCCTCTGTCACCCAGACTAGAGTGCAGTGGCGTAATCTTGGCTCACTGCAACCTTTGCCTCCCAGGTTCAAGTGATTCTCTTGCCTCAGCCTCCCGAGTAGCTGAGATTACAGGCACGCGCCACCACACCCAGCTAATTGTATTTTTAGTAGAGATGGGGTATTGGTCAAGCTGGTCTGGAACTCCCGACCTCAGGTGATCCTCCTGCCTCAGCCTCCCAAAGTGCTAGGATTACAGGCATGAGCCACCGAGCCCTGCAAGAATAAACTTCCATTTTGTGTGAATGTCTGTTATTCGGGACGTTGTTCCTCACAGCTGAACCTAATCATAACTCATGTATAAAGAAAAATCAGTCAGCAAACTCACTAGTTACCCTTCTGTTTCCACTTCAGTTCCAAAACTTTCTCTAAATCAGTGGTTCTTAATTCTCCATATTCATCACAGTCACCTAGTGAGCCCATGAAAAGTAGAAAAGGGGCCAGGAGCGGTGGCTTACACCTGTAATCCCAGCACTTTGGGAGGCTGAGGTGAGCGGATCACCTGAGGTCAGGAGTTCGCGACCAGCCTGACCAACATGGTGAAACCCCGTCTCTACTAAAAATACAAAATTAGCCAGGTGTGGTGGCACATGCCTGTAATCCCAGCTACTCAGGAGGCTGAGGCAGGAGAATTGCTTGAACCCAGGAGGTGGAGGTTGCGCTGAGTTGAGATTGCGCCATTGCACTCCAGCCTGGGCAACAAAAGCGAAACTCCATCTCCAAAAAATAGAAAGAAGTACAGCATGAGCCAGCCACACAAGCACATCAGCTTACGAGTGCACAGGCAGTGTGAGGCCATGGGACCCTCGGATCAGGAGCCAGCAGCTCTAGGGTCCTGGTGGGACCACCCTGGGCCAATTATAACCTCTGTGAGCCTAACTCCCACTTTGAAATAGAGGTCTCAGGGGTCTATCAGAAACAACAGCTGTCTGCCTCACCCTGGATGGTTGTGAGGATCATATAAAATAATGTATTTGTTTGTTTGGCTGGTTGTTTTTGAGACAGAATTTCACTCTTGTCATTCACGCTGGAGTGCAGTGGCATGATCTCAGCTCGCTGCAACCTCCACCTCCCAGGTTCATGCAATTCTCCAGCCTCAGCCTCTGAAGTATCTGGGACTACAGGCTTGAGCCACCATGCATGGCTAATCTTTGTATTTTTAGTAGAGACAGGGTTTCACCACATTGGCCAGGCTGGTCTCAAACTCCTGACCTCAAACGATCCGCCCACCTTGGCCTCCAAAAGTACTGGGATTACAGGCATGAGCCTCTGTGCCCAGCTTAAAATAATGGTTTTTAAAGTGCCTTGGTTTATAATGCCCAGGGACGTTTCTGACATCTCTGCACCACGGGCATGTCAGTGATTCTGTCCTCCACCACGCAGCGTGCACAGCCTTACTCCTTCCGGGGCTTCATATTGACTCACCGGCCCCAGCCACCTGGAGCAATGGTCCTTAGAGACTTTCCCTTGGAGAATAAAGTGAATGTCGTTCATCTTCTCCCTGAAAAGTACAAAAGGCATAGATGCATAGTGCATAAAATATGCCACAGCCTGGCGTTCACTACAGCCAGGAAGCCCACTAGGGACCTGAAGTAAAGACACCAGTTCTATAGTATGGCAATCCATGAGGACCAGAGAGACAGCAGCCATTCCACGCAGTGGGACAACCTGCTAACTAGAAGGTGGCAGAGCATAACCCCATGAGTGCCAGGTCCATAGAACTGGGATGGCTGGCCAGGCGTAGTGACTCACGTTTGTAATCCTGACACTTTCTGAGGACAAGGTGGGAGGATCACTTGAGGCCAGGAGTTCAAGACCAGCCTGAGCAATATACAGAGACCTTCTCTCTACAAAAAAAATTGAAAATTAGTCAGGTGTGGTGGCGCGCACCATTAGTCCCAGCTACTCAAGAGACTGAGGCTGGAGAATCACTTGAGCCCAGGAATTCAAGGCTGCTGTGAGCCCTCATTGCATCACGGCACTCCACCTGAGTGACAGAGTGAGCCCCTGTCTCAGAAGAAATAAGAAAGGAACTGGGATTGCTCATGGACATCTTGGGGCAGGAGCCTCTGACCACCTGTTATGGACTGAATTCTGTTCCCCCAAAATTCCTGTCATGAAGCCCTATCCCCCGGTATTTTAGAATGTAACAGTATTCACAGATAGGACCTTTAACAAAGTAATGAAAATTAGCCAGGGGTAGTGGCAGGTGCCTGTAATCCCAGCTACTAAGGAGGCTGAGGCAAGAGAATCACTTGAACCCAGGAGGCAGAGGTTGCAGAGAGCTGAGATTGCACCATTGCACTCCAGCCTGGGTGACAGAGCGAGACTGTCTCAAAACAAAAAGGAAAAAAAAAAAAGGTAGTTAATGTTAAATGAAGTGGTAAGATGGGGCCCTAATTCAATAGAACTGATGTCCTTATAAGAGGAGAAAGAGGGCTGGGCACCGTGGCTCATGCCTATAATCCCAGCACTTTAGGAGGCCAAGGTGGGCGGATCACCTGAGGTCAGGAGTTCAAGACCAGCCTGGCCAACATGGTAAAACCCTATCCCTACCCAAAAAAAAAATTTTTTTTTAAAAGTGGAGAAAGAGTCAGTAACACATCATTGACTGAGAAAATCATGATACAGAAGAATGTGTGAAACAGGATGCCACTTTGTAACGAATTAACCGAATACCTGTACGTATACATATGTGTAGAGGTATATACACATCAATATGCACACGTTCTGGAAGCCTGAGAAGACTAAGTTAGTGCCCATGCAGCCTGAGGTTTGCTCTGGAAGGCCGGGGGATCAGGGGTGGGAGGCTGGAATGCAGGAGAGTGTTGCATCCACAGGTCCCGGCCTCCCTCACCTGGCTCTGTGCTCCATGCTCCTCTCAGCCAGGTAGTCCCTCTGTCCCTGGCCTAGGAGGGTGGGGTCCCTCCTGAACCCTCACCCCCAAACCAAGCTCCTTCCCACCCCACCCTGCCCACAACATCTACTCATCTTCCAGGCCTCTGGATCCAACTTGGAAACCATTTTTTCCCTGGCTTTAAAAGACAGATTTACTTAGAAAATTTCATGCAGAAGAAAATTATAATCCCATTGTGGAAATAAACAAAGACCAGCCAAATGAGAACAGCAAAGGCTATTGATTCAGAGCTTTCTCTAGCAAGGGAGTCAGCCTTTGTCATTTTTCTTTGGCAGAGACTCAAAAGGCAGGCTGAAGAGAGGGGAAGCCTCATGGTGGAAAAGGAAGGCTTCAGGGGGCCCTGACGGGGGCTGCCCGCATAGAGAAACTGGAGGCAGCTAACTAGAAGGGGGCATTTTATGGGATTGGTTAGGGGAAAATATTTGGTTTTCTCTGATTGGTCCTATGTTAAAAGAGGGGACAAAAGTTACAGAGGCTGAGGCCGAGGCAGGCGGATCACTTGAGGTCAGGAGTTCCACAACATGGTGAAACGCTGTCTGTATTAAAAAAGTAAAAATTAGCTGGGTGTGGTGGCACATGCCTGTAATCCCAGTTACTTGGGAGGCTGAGATGGAAAACTGCCTGATCCCAGGAGGTAGAGGTTGCAGTGAGCCGAGATAGCACCATTGCACTACAGCCTGGGTGACAGAGTAAGACTCCATCTTGAAAAAAAAAAATTTTTTTTTTTATTACAGACGCAGACAGTCATTAATCCTGGCCATTTGGGGCTGATTGTCACAGGGGTCATTGTTTAGCTTCCTGGACTGTTTGCTAGAGATGGTGGGCCAACTTCCTAGCAGCCTGACTAACGGCCGCAGGCTGGCTTCCCGGCTGCCTCCTGCAGATGATGGGTCAGCTTCTGGCCTGGCTGCTGCAGATTGCAGGTCTGAGTTCTATTTTTATACATTCTCTGGCCATTGTCTGTTTATATATTCATTCAGTCTCTCACCGGGAAGGTTCAAATCAAGGCCTCAGACTGTTATATAAATACCAAAAGCAAAAACCTAAAGTAACTATGTCACATCTTATTTTCACCAATAACTTTTTTTTGTTAGGTAACTGGAGGAATCAGACATTTGTTGAGCAATAGTTCTTGTTCAGCCTCCTCATTATATCTGGGATTGTGTTTAAAAATATATATATAGATACGTCACTTCCGCTGCTCTACTGTAGGCACGTTGACTTCATGGTTGTAAATTAGTGGTTAAGGTTCGATATTATTGCTACTTTTCCAGCGCTGAAAACTGTTTTGGAACCAAGTGTCGCTGATTCAGCGGGTGACTGGCTTTTTTTTTTTTTTTTTTTTTTTTTGGCAAGCCAGTTATTCGAGTTTCTGTTTTTTAAAAAAAAACTCTGGCGGTACGGTAGCCGAGGAGGTTCTAGTGCGGCGGAAGTACCCAGCGGGTGGGTGTGTGCGCGCGCAAGATCAGGGCCAGAGGTGCACGTGGCGCCGGGAGTAGAGAGAATGTCTTTTCGAGGCGGAGGTCGTGGAGGCTTTAATCGGGGTGGTGGAGGTGGCGGCTTCAACCATGGCAGCAGCAGCAACCACTTCCGAGGTGGAGGCGGTGGTGGAGGCGGCGGCAATTTCAGAGGCGGCGGCAGGGGAGGATTTGGACGAGGGGGTGGCCGCGGAGGCTTTAACAAAGGCCAAGACCAAGGACCTCCAGAACGTGTAGTCTTATTAGGAGAGTTCCTGCATCCCTGTGAAGATGACATAGTTTGTAAATGTACCACAGATGAAAATAAAGTGCCTTATTTCAATGCTCCTGTTTACTTAGAAAACAAAGAACAAATTGGAAAAGTGGATGAAATATTTGGACAACTTAGAGATTTTTATTTTTCAGTTAAATTGTCAGAAAATATAAAGGCTTCATCCTTTAAAAAACTACAGAAGTTTTATATAGACCCACATAAGCTGCTGCCACTGCAGAGGTTTTTACCTCGACCTCCTGATGAGAAAGGACCTCCAAGAGGTGGTGGCAGGGGAGGCCGAGGAGGAGGACGAGGAGGAGGTGGCAGAGGTGGTGGTTTTAGAGGTGGAAGAGGAGGTGGAGGTGGGGGCTTCCGAGGAGGAAGAGGGGGTGGTGGTTTCAGAGGGAGAGGACATTAAGTGAAATAGTTGACAGACATCACCAGTTGACTTCTGCGTAAACCTGCGTGATCTGTTTCTACTGTGGATTGGAAACTTGTTTCTTGAGCAAGTCTTGAAGACCTTGGTTGTTTTATGACAATGGATCTAAAATGTCAGCATTATGCCAAGTGCAACAGAATAGTGAATTTTGCTCTAAAAGAGCATGAATAAATCTTTTTAATGTTTTGTATAGTGCCTGGCACTCTGTGGGTGCTTAATAAATGGACAGGAGTTTTCATTTGAAGCATATTTGAATTTTTAAAATAAAGTGTTTATTCCCTTAAAAAAAAAAATATATATATATATATATATATATATATAGAGGCCGGGCGCGGTGGCTCAAGCCTGTAATCCCAGCACTTTGGGAGGCCGAGGCGGGTGGATCACGAGGTCAAGAGATTGAGACCATCCTGGTCAACATGGTGAAGCCCCGTCTCTACTAAAACTACAAAAAATCAGCTGGGCGCAGTGGCTCACGCCTGTAATCCCAGCACCTTGGGAGGCTGAGGCAGGGGGATCACCTGAGGTCAAGAGTTCAAGGCAAGCCTGGCCAACACGGAGAAACCCTGTCTCTACTAAAAATACAAAAAATTAGCAAGGCATGGTGGTGGGTGCCTGTAGTCTCAGCTACTCAGGAGGCCGAGGCAGGAAAATCGCTTGAACCATGGAGGCACAGGATGCAGTGCGCCAAGATCATGCCAATGCACTCCAGTCTGGGCAACAGAGCAAGACTGCGTCTCAAATGAATATATATATATATATATATATATATATACACACACACACACACACACACACACACACACACACACATATATATGAATCAAATATGGCAAAAGTTAGGTGTTGCATCTAGATCGTCGGTGGTGTGTGGGTGTTAAACTATTTTCTCAACTTTTATCCATGTCAGAAAATTGTCAGGATAAGAAGTTGGGAAAAAATGCTGGACCTGCATTTTTACTTAAACACAGCACTAACCAGCAGTTGCAGAATATGAATCACAGGCTTGAATCACAAAACCCACAGCTTCATTTTAATTTATGTGTTTACATATTTCTTTGTATAGAGCAGTGCCCAAGAGTCAGAGATCAGCCAATTGTGGCTTGTCTAAGCTGGGCAGCCCTGCTGCTGTGCTTCGGGGCCACAGATGGCCAGCCTTTGCCAGAATGGCTGCCGCTCCTTGGACCCCACACAGTTGGCAAACCAGCCCTCAGCACTCAGGCCGCCAGCCCCCAGACGCTCTCCCCACACACCGGCCTCCCTGTTGGGTAGAATTGCTCCACCTCCATCTCCTCCGGCTGCAGCTGCCACCCCCCACACTTGCAAGCAGCCACCTCACACTCACCCCCCGAGCTTCTTGGCCACCTGCGCAGAGTTCAGGATGACCACATGGGGCCGACTATAACAGAGCAGTCTGATTTGCATTTCTTTCCGAGTAAATGAATTAATCAACCAATCCAAGTCTAGCCTCAAAGTACATCCAGGAGCCTCTTCTCACCCCATCTTCACCACCCTTGTCCCGCAAGATCATAGCAAAAGCCTCCCTGCCCCAATCTTCTGGCTTCCCTCGTGACCCCCACACAGCAGCCAGAGAGCCCCTCTTAAAACTGAGCCAGGCCAGGTAATTTCTTTGCTCAACACCCCTGCCAACCCTCGCCGCCCAGCACCTCTTCATGTCTCTCAGAGAAAAAGTCAAAGCCCTAGCCATGGCCTCCAAGGCTACATCGGGGCAGCAAACTACAGCCCGCAAGCCACGTCTAGCCCATGGCCCCATGCATTAGCTTGCCCTGTCTATGGCTACCTCTGTCTACCACAGTTCACCTGCAGCTGTCCAATGCTGTCATGACAACAGCAAGTAGCCCCAGGAAGAGCCCAGCAGTCAGCACCACACTGCCAGCCGTGTGAGGCTCCACCTTGGAGCGGGGCCCCCAGCACAGGTGAGCCTTTGGATGACGTCTAATTCCAAGTGGAAACTCCAGCTGAAGCTTTCTCCAGTGCCTGACCCACAGACTCCACGGGCATCATACATTTGTTTATTTTGAAACAAAAACAATCATATTTTTCTCATGCTACTATATTTTGCCACACAACTGTGTGTAATCCCCCTCTGTCAAAAACATATCTATATGTGTATACATGTTAAGTGTATGTGTCCATATATGTGTGCGTGTGTAAAACACCTTATAGAAATACATAAGCAATGACTTTGCTTTAATTTAATTAGCCTTCTTTTCTTGGCTATATACTTCCCCTTCCTCTCCCATCTTGTCTTACCACCCACATACCCTATGTCAAGAACGCAGTTTCTATTCCATCTATTCTCTGTATTTTTCCTTTATCCTTATATGTAATAATAATCAAGCACACGTGTGCATACCGATGTGTATATACCTCTACACATACGCATACATACAGGTATTCAGTTAATTCGTTACCAAGTGGCATCTGTTTCACACATTCTTCTGTATCATGATTTTCTCAGTCAATGATGTGGCGTAGAAATCCCTGTGAAATCTACCACTCAAAGCCTCAGTGGGCCTTTTTGGTGGCTGCATAATATTCCATGCTGTAGGTGACTGTAATTTACTCACCCAGCCCTGGGTGACAGGCAGTCACTTTTGTTACCAATGTGGGGCCCCATGGTAATGTCCCTGCACACAGCCTCACCCACTTGGGCTTTATCTGTGCGCCTGGTTGCCCAGAGTGGGGCTGCTGGCCTGAAGACAGAGCATGTTACATTTTAACAGATGCTGCCCGACTGTTTTCTACATGGCCTGATGTCCAGCCCTGGGAAGCCCTGAACATTTTTGTGCTGTGACACAGTGCCTTCCAGCTGTGCCAGGCTATCACCCACACAGTCAACACAGCTCAGTGAGAAGCCTTCAGCAAATCCACGTCCTGCGGTTTCTCCAGTTTTTCTCAGGCCCAACTAAACTTCAGGGGCTAGTCAACACCATATGGGTATAGATAAAACGCACAAATGAATTCCTCTTCTTTTTTTTTGAGACACTCTGTTGCCCAAGTTGGAGTGCAATGACACCATCTTGGCTCACTGCAACCTCCACCTGTCAGTTCCAGCAATTAATTCTCCTGCCTCAGCCTCCAGAGTAGCTGGGATTACAGGGACCCGCCATCGTGCCCGGCTAATCTTTGTACTTTTGTAAAGATGGGGTTTCACCATGCTGGCCAGGCTGGTCTTGAACTCCTGGCCTCAGATGATCTACCTACATTGGCCTCCCAAAGTGCTGGGATTACAGGTGTGAGCACACACCCGGCCTGAATTCCTCTTTTGAGTTTTGCTTTCAGAAAAGAAATGCTGCCCGTTAGCGTTCGGGTGAGAGTGGGGGCGCCAGCTTGGACATCCAGCCCGCCAGTTCCTGCCTGATATCAGGCCTCTCTGCTGTCCCACTTGACAAAAGGGAACTGTTAAAACGCACCTGTGGCCACCTCTCCTGAGGAAGATGTTAATTTTTAAATTTGGGAACCTCCAGTTCCCAAACTCAGTTCATGGAGCCCTCGGTGTCTCCGAAAATTTTCAGGGCCTCCGAGGGGCAGGGAACACCTGGCAGGTGCATTTGTTAAGCAGTTAAGTCCAAGCCACTCAGCAAGCGCCCACATGCTAATTACCTACCCGGCGTTTGAGAAAGTGATACACGTAAGTATAAAAGAGAATCGTTTTCTTTCATTCTTAAAGACCTGCAATTCCTTTGTAACAGGGTGTTGGACATTGCGCAGCTTCTCAAACCCACCCACCTGGTGCCTGTCCCGCGGTGATTTCCACGTGGTACTGAGCCCACCTGAGCACAGGGAGGAAGGAGGATGAGGAAGGCCTGGTGGCTGCGGTCCCCGCCGCGCCCAGCAGAGGGCTCCGCGCTGCCCTCGAAACAGAGCCCCCCGCGCAGCCGCGCCTCGCCGCCCGACCGGAGGAGGCCTGGCCTCTCTCCCCGCCACGCGGTCCCCGGGTCCCGTCACCCCAACCCCGAGCCCGCAGGAATTTAGAAAGCGGGCTGGAGGCCGGCAGCCGAGGCGGGTTCTGTGCCGAGGCAGGAGCCTGGCTGTGGGGTCGCCCCGGCGGAGGCGCGGGCGCTGGGATCCGAGCCCCTGGGACCCCAGGGCACGGCCGAGACCGTCCCCAGAAAGGTCGCGCGGCCGTCGCCCCGCGGGAGCGCGCAGGGCAGGGCGGGCAGGGTCCGTGGCGCTGTGTGCGAGTGGGGACGTCGTCTGCTGGTCTTCTGTTTCTGCGTCTTTTCCGTCTTCGAAACGGAGCGGCTCTCCCGAGAACGGCCTCCGAAGGCAGGGGCACCCAGCGCCCCGCAGTGCCCTCCCCGGGAGGGCTGGAGGCTGCAGAGGCGGGCGCGGGGAGGGGCGGCCCCGCAGGAAACCCGAGGAATCGTGCGCACCCGCCGGGCTCGCCCTTCCTCGCCCCCAGGCTCGCCTGGAAGGGAAGAGCAGGCGGGCAGAGCGCGAGGTGACTCGGCCACCGCCGCGGCCTCCTCGGCCCTGCGCAACCAGCCGGCCCCGCAGCCTCACGGGGAGGGAGGAGCACACCTGCGGGGTGCAAGACTCTCCAGGCCGCAGCGTAGGAGGGCGCCCCAGAAACTTCCACCCGCACCAGGGAGAGTCCGGACGGCCGCGGCTGGGAGTTCTTAACCGAGGCGAAGAGACCAGAAGCCAAAGGAAAAGACTGATTTTTAGCCGGGCGCGGTGGCCCACGCCTGTAATCCCAGCACTTTGGGAGGCGCCGTGACGGGAGGATCGCCTGAGCCCAGGTCGGGGCCGCGGTGAGCTGTGATAGCGCCAAGGCTGGTCTCCCACTCTGGGGCTCAAGCCCTTCTCCTGCCCCGGCCTCCCAAAGTGCTGAGATTACAGGCGTGAGCCACCACACCGGACCCAAATTCTGTTCTTTAAAAAGACACCACAGGGCCAGGCGCGGTGGCTCACGGCTGTAATCCCAGCACTTTGGGAGGACGAAGCGGGCTGATCATGAGGTTAGGAGTTCAAGACCAGCCTGGCCAACATGGTGAAACCCCATCTCTACTAAAAATACAAGAATTAGCCGGGGGTGGTGGCACGCGCCTGTAGTCCCAGCTACTCCGGAGGCTGAGACAGGAGAATCGCTTGAACCCGGGAGGCGGAGGTTGCAGTGACCGGAGATCGCGCCACTGCAGCGATGGCTCACGCCTGTAATCCCAGCACTTTGGGAGGCTGAGGCGGGTGGATCACAAGGTCAAGAGACCAAGACCATGCTGGACAACATGGTGAAAGCCCTTCTCTACTAAAAATACAAAAATTA